TCTTGCCAAACCACTTTTTTAATTGCACTACCTAGACATCTTATACTCTTTTTGTCCCAATAATATAGTGCTTATTTATGTTATTATGGTCAGTATATTAAGACTAATGACCTTTAATATATATATATATATATATATATATATATATATATATATATATATATATATAAACCTTGAGATATCGTTTTATTTGTCTCCATGTAAGATATATGTAGTTAAAACTATTGATGGTTAAAGAATTATCTGACCGGGTAATTATAATAAGCACGATATTATTAGATGGAGAGTGCATTCTTTTCTTCTTTAAGGAATCTTTTAAAGAATTCGTAAATCGAAGTGATATGGGTGTTGGGTGCATAGTTAATTCTAAACAAAGTACAGTGATGAAACTTTTTTTTAATTTAAGCATCAAAATTATTATATTTTAAAAAAAAACTTCTTATATAATTGTGAGAATAACCAAATTAATAAATTTATAATAATACTCCGTAATAAATGTTCAAATGATTAAAAAATGATAATACTAATCATCAAATGTAACGTTATGCACTGAAAAATAAACGTGAAAATAGAAACAATAAATTAAAATGAATGAAGCATTTCACTCATTAATATGGATTGCTTAGTTTTCATTATATATTTTTTTTTCCTATTTAAAATCTTTATACATTACAATCGAATTAAAATGTAATACTCTATTTATATATATACATATAAGGATAAATAAAAGTTTTTTTATTTGTCTAAATTTTTAATTTCTTCCTATATAAACAACTTTATACTAATATTTTATTATACCGATTTGAAAGAATTGTATGTGTATATGTGTAATTTTGAGCTTTGTAAAATGTGGAACAAGACAACAAATAAAACAAAAATAACCACTAAAAATGAAGCCAATCTTTAAAACATCACTTGAATTAACCAAAAATTATAATATTCTAACATCTTTGTTTTATGTGGCTCTTAAGAAAGTTGTAATTGCCAACTTCACTTTTGCAAAAGGTCATAGGTGACAAATTTTATTTAAGATTATAAGAGATACCATGTACAATAACAACCGATTGGGTGCATGTCACATCTTAAAAAAGTATGCGGTCCATATTGAAATATGGAGCATCATTTTGGAGGAAGTAGTGAGGGGGGTTAGTTATGCATTTGCAAATGCATAATAAATACTAAAATATTAAAAAGCACATGGGGGTAAGAGAAAAGAGGAGAGAGATGGGTAAGTAGGGCCATTTTTTAAATGTACCGTTGAAAGCTTAGATAGTACCATTGACTATATAGTGATACTATTTCTATTGTAATGATACTATTTCTACACGTAGTGAGTAGCACTGAATGAATATATAGTACCACTACATACATAAATAGTAATGCTGAAATATTCAATGATACCATTTAATCATCTAGTGATACAATTGATCACCCAGTGGTACTACTCTAAATTCAGAAATGCATTTACGTGAAATGACCCTCATGCCCCTCGTTATGCATTTACTCATACATAACTAACCTCCTTTTGGAAGGCCTCATTATTTTGTTCATTTTATGTAGTTTACAAGCTTACATAACGTGACGTTCTGCACCACATAATACATACTAACAAGAGTTTGGATCAAGTGGTACGTCGTTTAAGGGAGTAAAAATAGCACCAATAAGAGCTCGCTCAACTGGTACGTCGAAGGATATTGGGTTCAAGTCTTATCATATGTAAAAACTCTTACTACGTTTTAGAAATTCACCCATTATAAATCAATTGTACAACTCGAATTAAATCCGGACGTAATTGGAGGTAAATTACAGTAAACCGAACAGGCATCCTAAAAAAAACACCAAAATAGCAATATATTCACTAAAATATCGTTTGGCTGTGGGACCAATTATCAACAAATTAAAATATGTTGGACCAATTCCTTCACTAGGTTATTCTAGATGTTCTTTCTTTGATTGCGAAATAAGAACATTACAAGCATTCCACATAGTTTTATTTTTCTTATTGTAATATAAGTAATTTTTTAAGTATGCCAAAATGGTTAAGATGAAAAAACAAATAGCTTATGTTCAAATATTTTTTCTTATTTTGATTTATGAATCTTATGTTCAAAACTAGAGAAATGGATTTTTTTTTTATTATTATTTTTTTATTTTTAAGATTATACATGTATTAACTTTGTTGATTAAAGACAAATTATGTTATATTTTCATCCCAACCATATAGTCTTTCAATCAAATCGTACTATGTTATGTTAATTGAAATACAAAGTATCATTATTTCCAATGTTCTTCAATTTTCCTAGATTTTTTGTTTTTCGAAGCACAATTATCCCATATTTTAAGTGAACTGTTAAACATCGCCCGCAAATTCCTACATAAAGCCCACAAAATAAGAGTGAAATGACACTTTTGCCCTCAAACTAAAAAACACAATTTCTCTCTCTACTCTCTACTTCCACTTTCTCTCTCTAAATTATTTCCCGAGCTATGTCGAGGCGGCCCGGCAAGGAAGTGGCGGCTCCGGCGGTGGGCGGAAGGCGGTTTGCCGGCGAGAAGGTAATTTTTGTAATTTTTTTTTAAAAAAAAAAACCTCCGGCGACGGTGGGGCGCCAAGGCGAGACGCCAGCACCACGGAGGAGGCGCCTAGGCAGGACGCCCGTACGGTGGAGGCGGCGCCTAGCCCAGACGCCACTACCACGGCGGCGGCGGATAGGCTAGGCGCCACGGCCGTGGTGGTGGCGTCTGGGCTAGGCGCCGCCACCACCGTACGGGCGTCTTGCCTAGGCGCCTCCTCCTTTTTTTTTTTTTTTTAATTTTTTTTTGTTTTTTTTTAATTTTAAATTTTATTTTCGAATTTTTTTTTTTTTTTTTTTTTAAAAATTTGTTTTTCTTTTTTTTAAATTGTATGTTTCCTTTTTTTTTTTTAAATTTTGTTTTTTTATTTGTTTTAATTTTATGTTCTATTTTTTTTTTTTAAAAAAAAATTGTTTCTGGTTTTAATTTTTAATTTTATGTTCCTATGTATTGTTTTTTTTTTTTTTTGAATTATATTTTTGTATGTAAAAAAATTATAAGTTCCCTTTTTTTTTTATAAATTTTCTTTAAAATTTTGATGTTCTTCTTTTTTTAAGTTTTTGCAATTTTAAATTTTTTAAGTTTTGTTAGTTTTTTGTTTTTGGTTTTTCTTCGCATTTTTGATTTTTTGTTTTTGTTTATGTTTTTCATTTTTTAGTTTGTTGTTTATATTTTTTGTTTTTGGTTATATATTTTGTTTTTGGTATATTGTGTTGTTCATATTTATATTTTTTTATGTTCATATTTATATTTTTTTATGTTTATATTTATATTTTTTATGTTTTTATTTATATTGTGTTGTTTATGTTTTTATTTTTTATGTTTATAATTTTATTTCCGTTACTTGTTTATTTGCTTTTGTGTTTATTTTCGTCCTTTTTTGTATTTATATTTTTTGTTTTTGGTAATATTTTTTGTTTTTGTTTATGTTTGTTTTTTTTTTGTTTGTAGTTTATATTTTTTGTTTTTGGTTATATTTTTTGTTTTTGGTATATGTTTATGTTTATATTTCTTATGTTTATATGTATATTGTCTTGTTTATATTTATATTTTTTATGTTTATAATTTTATTTCCGTAACTTGTTTATTTGCTTTTGTGTTTATTTTCGACTTTTTTTTATTTTGTTTTCGTTATTATGTTTCGTTATTTACTTGGAGTTAGGCATCGCAATTTGGACCTGGTGTGGGGAAGAGTATTGACGTCGTGAGGAGTACGATCTACTCAATGGAGAGCTCGGGGCCCAGACACGTTAGATCCCGTGGTATTTCGGCCTCGGCCCGCAGAGAACGGGTGCACTGTTCTGCGGATGATCAAGATGATGATGATGATGATGAGGAGGAGGAGGAGGAGGAGGTCGAGGACGAGGATGATGCAGATGAGGATGTCGACGATCAGAGTGGACCATATGATGATTACGGTCCATTCAGTCAGAGGCTTGATGATGTGTATGAGACGCGTAGGGTAGACGTGCGTAAGGGTAGAGATGGTAGATTTGTTAGTAGATCTGGCACATCATCTGCGTCCACTGTGTCTGCGGTTAGCAGAAAACGGTCGAGGGCCGTTAATGATTCTTGGGTGGTGAGGGGCGAGGTGGCTGGGGGACCTATAGACGGGAGTGTGATTCCTAGCTTTCTAGGACACATCGCTACCCGTATTTGGGAGGACCAAGAGCGGGCTTTGGATAGCGGCATTTTGAAATGCCAAACCCGGGAGAGGACTTGTAACTTCTTGTGTAGTTGGGCTGAGGCTTGGCCGGAGGAGAGCGAGATGGTTGGCCGATTGAGGGGCACTAGAGTGAGCCACCTTCCTGCCACCATGCATGAGAGGATTGACTCGACGCTGATCACGGCTTTCGTTGAGCGATGGCAGCCGGACACGAACTCTTTCCACCTTCCGTTCGGTGAGATGACGATCATGTTGCATGACGTCGAGGTCATCCTTGGGATTCCCGTAGAGGGAAACCGAGCATCTGTTGTCACAGATGCGGATCAGGCAGATTTATTGGCGGAGCTGTTGGCGGTGGATAGGGCTGCGCTGTACACAGCGGCACTTGGTGTGTGGGATCACGGCGGTGTTAAGATCGCAGCAGTTTTGCAGCGATGTTTGCACCCCACTTCACGTAGGACGCAGGACACACAACTGGCTGCATATGTTTTTCTTCTTCTCGGGTGTACCTTGTTTCCGGATAAGAGCGGAAACAAGCTCAGGCCACGCGACATAGTTGACGCGTGTGAGCCCGACAGAGTAGGCCAGTTTTCTTGGGGGTCGGCTACATTAGCGTACATGTATCGCCAGTTAGGATTCTCGAGCCGGGCTGATGCGGCAGGTATCACTGGATGTATGACGTTGTTACAGACGTGGATATACGAGTATTTCCCAGCGTTTCGACCACACCGCGACCCGGTTCCTATTGGGGATAGCCAGCCACGTGCCTGTGCGTGGAGTCCGCGTGTCGAGAAGAAGTCCATTGACCGCCTGCGATCGATACGGTTATTGCTTGACATGATGTCCCCATTAGAGGTAAAGTGTTTAAATTATTTCTACTTTTATAGTTTGATGTGTTTATTGTATGAATCTTACTAATTTTAAAAAATGTGCAGGTGAACTGGATGCCTTTCGGCCAGAACCCTAGTAATAGGGTACCCAGGACCCTCTACACGGGACTGATTCAGTATCGTGAGATCGTAGAGGCGTACATGCCGCAGCGCTGTCTTCGCCAGCTTGGATATGTCCAAGTTGTTCCTCCTCCACCAGCATGGCCCAGTAAGGCCGTCCGATCTGCGTCGTCGAAGGAGTACGTCGTCCAATGGCCGGCAAGCATGATTGGCACGTGGGAGCAGTTTCCGATGGTTGCCCGCATATGGATTGAGCAGCTGCAGCGGCCGCCAACTGGGGTGGCTGCCATGTGTGACCAGCACTACATGGAGTGGTACAACCGGCACTCGCACCCGAGGTTGATCAGAGACGTCCACCACGGCGACGACGCCGATGATGATGATGTGCCACCGCCCACTGCCGTGGATGCGGTACGTCTCATAAATCATTTGTAGTTGTGTTTTTTTTCATATAATACGTCGTTATTGAATTTTATGTGTTTTGTTATGTGTAGTGGATGGGAAAGATGACGCAGTTGGGACACAGACTTTTTGAGGAGAGGGACAACATGACGACTGCAACAGGCAGAGCTGTTATTGATGAACTGGAACGGGCCCTTGAGCAGTGGCAGTGGGCGTCACAGAGAGATTATTGATATGTCGGCAGTGCATTTATATAACATTTTCCTAGTTGTTTGTAAAAGTTAACATTATCTATTCTTATAATTATTATTTTAAGTTCTTAGAATTTGACATTATATTTTTAGTTTTTATAATTTTTATTTTAAGTTGTAATTAGTGGGCATACGAAAATTAAATACAAGTTCACATTTAAATGGGAAAACTAAATACGAAAATTAGAATCCGAAAATTAAATAAATGGGAAAAACATAGCAATAACAATAGAAGGTCACATAGAAAAGGCAACTAGATTGTTCCACTGCTGCACCCGGTCATGATATAGCGCATCCCAGCCCTCTACGCTTGCTGTACGAATGGTGTACCACGTTGGTATGATCGGTGGGACCGGAAAATCGGGTGACAGGTCCAGTCGGATGAAATGTCTGTATGACGGCCCCAGAAATCCAATAGCAACCTCTCTTACCGGTCTGGTGACGGTCTCACGCGAACACCAAGGCAGAACCGTGGTACATGGATAGTAAGCTCCACCATGCAAACCAAGGCCGAAATGCATCACTGCACACTTGTAGATGTTTGCAACGGCGAAGAGATCAAGTGGCGCGTCGAACCAATGATTTTGACCGCAACGTCCTCCTCCCCACCGGATACGCTGCAGAGACCTATCCAAGTCCTGTCCGTACACGTGGCGATAAACAGCTCGGTTGACTGTCTGTGGAACAACATGCTCACCGATAACGAGCGTCCGCCAGAATGGATGAACCTGATCAACATGTAACGACGCCCTATCTTGCGTAATTACGCGGTGAATGGTGCATGCACAAGGTAGTCCATGAGTCACCGATGTAGCACATCCGCACCGAATAGCCACTTCATCACCCAACTCCCTCATCCTGGTGTGCTCGCTCAGAATCAACCCCAAGCAGTAGTGTGACACACGACCATGGAGAATCTTAAATATGAAATGGCTATACATCGTGCCATGTCGCCGTCTGGAGTCCTCGAGAGAGTTCTTGGGGCAAAGAGACCTCCCTCACAATCGCTGACGATGGCCGATGGCTGAACACTTGGGCCGATGTAATTTCTCAACTTCTCCAACACCCAACGGTAACTCGCAACCGTCTCATCCTTCATAACTGCATAACCAATCAAAAAGTTCTGGTTCGTTGGAGTCATCCCAACCATCTCAACCAGTGGAAACTTATACTTGTTTGTCTTGTACGTTGAATCGATCAGAATCACAGATGGCCAAGACGAAATCATATCAGCACAATCAGGATGCACAAGGAACAAATGAGTCACCTCCGATGTGTCTTCATCAGATTCAAACCAGTACAGATAACCACGTGCTTGTGCCTGGTGTAGAAGCTGCTGTATAGGGTTCCTTCCCTCTGACCGTTCAAACCTCAATTTCTGTCTGACGTTGTAGATGTGTCTTCGGTTTGGCTGGTCTTCAGGAAATTTCTCCAACACAGATGCTAATATTTTAGCAGGCTTCACTTGAGCATCACTCATTTCTTTTACAATTAGTTTCGCACCAGGACTTAGGCCACTTAACTGTCGATGACCCACTTCATATGCGATCATCTCATGGTTGTGATACCCCCATTTACCGTAACTCTTCACTTCCCAACCGTCACCCCTTTGCTGTTGTCGAACCTTTACTCTGAACTGACACCCACAACCTTTCCGCTTTGTATCAAACCGAATCGCTTGACTGAAATCTCGTTCCTCCCTTTTGCGATAACGGTCGCATCTCAAAATGCGATCCATTCTACCATCCCGTTGAGATTTATGAGTTGCTACTACTAAACAAAAACCTGATCTAATTGCAACATGTTTCGCCCAATCAACCGCTTGTTGAGCATCTTCGAACAGACCATCGTGTACAAAAATCCCACTATAATCATTTCCGTCTCCACCATAATCCTGCAACAATAACATATAAATATAATCACATAAGATTAGATTAAATTAATACATTTGACACAACATTAGCACAAAAGCAAAAACAATAATAAAATATAAACAACAAACAAAGAAATAAAAAACATAAACAAAAAGTATTCAAAAAAAAAAAAAAAAAAAACAAAACACAAAAATAAAAAACATAAACAAAACTTTAGATTAAATAAAAAAAAAAAAACCAAAAAAATAAAAACAAAAAAAAAACATAAACATAAAAAACATAGCGATCAAAAACACAAAAATCAAACACAAAATTTTACATTACATTTTAAAACAATTAAAAACAAAACAAAAAAAAACCAAAAAAAAACGAAAAAAAATTGTAACACAAAAAAAAAAAAAAAAAATAAACAAATTTTAAATTAAATTAAAAAAAAAAAATAAAAAAAAATGCAGTGGCGCCTAGCCAGGACGCCGCTACCGTGGCGGTGGCGTCTAGCCAGGACGCCGCCACCGTGGCGATGGCGCCTGGCCAGGACGCCGCTTTCATGGTGGCGGCGTCTTGGTCAGACGCTACGGCCACGGTGGCGGCGTCCTGGCCAGGCGCCATACCTACGGAGGCAGCGTCCTGGCTAGGCGCCACCACTACGGTCACGGCGTCCCGGCAGGACGCCAGCCGCCAATTCGTGGTTTTAGATGGCTTCGTACCTCCTTTTCCGGCGTCAACGGCGTCTCTCCGGTGCATCTAGCCGACGTTGAGGGCTCTTCGGTTTCACTCGGCGATCTAGTCCTGCTCCACATTTTTGGTGAGTGAAAATTTTCAATTTCGGTAAAAATTAAAACAAGGGCAATAATGTCAAAATTTTTAAAAAATGTGGGCTTTATGTAGAAAAACGCGGGCGATGTTTAACAAGTCCCTATTTTAAACATTAAAGTTTAAAATTTCTTCAAGTTAGATTATTGACCATTAACATATGTTAGACATTGGATTATTAATAGTGGCATTACATTAAACTTCTTATGACGATGACATATAAATGAGTAATTAATATCCAGTATTAGCACCAAACATCAAGCTTCTCTATCCATAAAGCGTTTGGAATGAATCAATTAATTGGTAATTAAAATTTAAATAAAAAACAAAGGGAAAAAAATCCAGTATCTTAAAAATAATAAAACAGGTTCGTTGTAACGATTGTAAGTTTCTAATTTAATTAGTAACAACAACTATTAAAATAGTATTCATCAATTAGATTACAATAACAACAATTATTTACTTAGCATTCCAAACTGATTTTGTAGATTTTATATAATGGGGGTGTCTACTATATAAAGATATAAAGTATGAAGATCTCAAAAAAAAAAAAAAAAAAGTATGAAGATGATAAAATGGTGAATATCCCGCAAATTTAGGGTTCGTTTGACATTGCCGTGGGTTTCTGTTTTTTGTTTTCTAAAAGTATATGATATGAGTCCGATAATGAATAAAAAATTATATAAACTTATTAAAACTATGATAATTTTGAAAACTGACAACATAAAAGTGAAAACACCTTTTTCTTGTTTCCTGTTTTTGGTTTTTGGTTTTCAAAAAAACAGGAAATTGAAAACCAAAACTGATGTCAAACAAGCCCTAGTTATTGATGCAACGATTGTAAGTTTTGAAAATATGAAGTATTATTATTAATATGTTTAAAAATTTTACGTATTTTGCATTTTAAAATCCTTTTTGACAAAATTATATATTTATTATTAACCGAAACTATTATTTGTAATCCAAATTTATTTTACTATAACCCTCCACCATTTTATATTAACCCTTCACTATTATATTTTACAAATGATTAATTTTTGCATAATCTCACTATTTGCTAAAAGAATTTATAGATTGATAATTAGTATTTGTATATTGCAATATTAATAATCATTAAGCATTTTAATAATAAATTATGATCTAATATTATTATTAAGCAGCATAATTCACTTTTGGTAAAATTAATATGTCACGGAGGAAGTATAAATATGTTTTTGGAAACTTTAGTTTCACATAACGCTATATTTATTAGTAACCAAAAACTAATTTAAGTATTCTAAATGTTATTTACTTTAACCCCCTATTTGATTTTAACCCTTCACTAATTCATTTAACTGTCCAATTTAATTTGTATTGGGTGGTTGTAGGCTTGTAGCAAAAATAGAGTATTTGAAAAGTTACTCCTTACTTTTTTAATATTTATTTTTGCATTAATAACCTTTTTTTTTGTGTAAAGTAATTGATTAAGATTTAGTATTTGTATATTATAAGATTAATAACCTATAGACACCCATTTGTGTTTCCCCAAAACCAAACCCGGTGATGAATACCTTTCACGTCATTTGATTATCGAATAAAGCGAAAGTGTGAAAAGTCTAGTGATGAGGATGTTTTTATTAAAATATCTCTTCTTTCTGTTTTTGAAAATATTTCTTTTCTTACCTTATTTTTGAAAAATGTGCATTATAGTTTAGTTTGGTCCATGATAAGGGTCCAATAATGGTGAAGTTGGATGGGGTATGAAAAGACCTTTCCAACGATATATTATAAGCCCAATTCCGATGAATAATGAGGAAGTTATGGCCAAAATACTTAACTGGGCCCGATTTGGTTTTTATATGCGGCCCAATGATCTAGAGGAGGGTCTATTATTAATTATCATTCCTAAAGCTATTAGGATTTATTATAGTATTCTAGAATACTCTAGAAGGTTCTTTTAAATCCTAATGGAGTTAGGATTGATAATTATATTTTAAAGAGTTTGAAATTGAATAAAACTACTCCTTTTGAGAATCCTTGTTTTGTACGAAGTGGAATATATTCAGATTTTATTTTCGTGACTCATAATCTTTATCCCAATTTTATGTGGTTGGATAGATCTTGAAATTATCTTTCCAATGATTATATTATAATATTAAATTCGAGCAATAACAAAAAGATATGAATGAGATATGCAACACTATCCAAAACTAACACCCTTCCCCTATTTCGGCCATATCTTTTTATCTAAAAAATATTTTAATCTTATTCTAATTGGGTTGGAAAGTAGACTTCAATATATTTCCAACGACATATTATATGACTTATTTGGACTTTTGGATCAAAATATATGATAAAAACAAAATCTGCAAAAACTGTTTTCCAGCGCCTGGCGCCACGCCTAGCTTTGGCGCCAAAGTGTAGCGTCTGACGCCAATCCTGGCGTCTGGCACTAGAGTCCAGCGTTTGGCGCCACGCGCGTGTTTGACGCTGCGATCAAGTTTTATTTGCGTCAGAACTTTGTTTCGATTTTTTATCTTTTTGACTGATTTTCTCTATAAATAGCCTTCTAAAACTCCGTTTTATATCATCAATTTCCATCAACTCTCGTCAATAATTTCTTGATTCTCTCCCTCTTTCTAAACCAACCCTTTTACAAACACAATTCCTCATACATTAGCACTA